CGTATCGTATACCGTAATTACCGATTTGCGATGAGCACTAAAATTATCGCACTATATGTCTATATTATCCGTTTATCGGTGTTACACCGTCATACCGATGACTATGACAATTGACAACCAGTCACCGGTTGTAGTTCAAGTGTTCAACTTCAAAATTACAGTTCTGAAAATTATTTATTACAAAAAACAGTGCTGTTATAATAGTGATGCGTTGCACAATGGATTTAATGACAATTGACAAGTGAACGAAACAAGACAATTTTTATAGTTGACAGGCATAAATTCTGATTCCATAAGATACTTAAAATTTTAAAACGACATTCAACGATGGACTTGCTACTTAAATTATTGTAAGTGTTACTTGAAATTGAACGATCATAATTCTATTATTTTTTATTCTAATAACCACAATCACCAAAAACCACATGAAGAAACGCTGAATAGACAACAATTTAATAGTGCACTAAAAAGAAAAGCAACCTCTGACATACCGACAAAACCAGCTAAATTAATTCATACAGAAATAAGAACAAGTAACTTACCACCTTTAAAATTATCAGCTGTAACCCTTCTCAAACGTAATATACGAAATTCCCGAAATAGTATTCATCCAAGATTGCCTAAAAGTTCTTTAGAAACACACAATGCGTTAAATAATGATATGGAAATACTGACAAATACTGGTGAACCTTTTATGATAATTAATGACATTCATACGAGTATAATTATTTTTTCGACAGTAACTAATTTAAAAACGCTTTGCGATACAGACAATATTTACGTAGACGGAACATTTAAAAGCTGTTCAAAGTTCTTTCATCAAATTTTTATTATTCATGGATACGTTAATAATAAAGTATATATACCACTTGTATTTGGCATATTAGGAAAAAAGAACTTGGTAATTACATTCAATTTTTCAAACATCTTGTAACTTATTGCTCAACAATAGACTTAACATTTTTGCCAAATCGAATTTTTATTGATTTCGAGATAGGTATACATAATGTCATAATGCCGCAAGACATGTCTGGCCTTTGATTGAAATCAAAGGATGTCGATTCCATCTTGGACAAAGTTGGTGGAAAAAAATTCAAAGTCTTGGATTAACCAACGTATATCGAGATCAAAAACCCGGACACAGTAAATTTTTAAGAGTATTTTTTGGTTTACCTTTTCTAAGCCAAATGAAGTGGATCAGTGTTTTTTTGAAGATATCACGGCAATTCAACCTACAGGAGATAAAGTACAGGCCTTTTTAGATTACGTTTTTGATACATATATTGATCCTTCTGGTTTATTTCCTCCTAATGTTTGGGCTGAGTTTAGAACAACAAATGTTTGCGAATCATTTCATTCAAGACTAAATTTAATGTTTAATTGTTCTCATCCAAACATTATTACAATTTCATTGATATACTTAAATACATTCAAATAGATTCATATATAAAAAACCGTAGCAAAGAGGTAATTAAAATGAAAAAAATAACCATAGAAAAAGAATTTTTTGAGACAAGAAATGTTGAAATATGAAAATAAAAATATTTTACGATTTGAATTCGTTAAGAGCATATCAAATAAATTTTTACCATGTACAAAATAACAATAAAAAGTAAAAAAAAAATAAATTGACTTGAATTTGTATATTATTTGTGATTTTTATGTACAACATTGTGAATTATATTAGATATCAAAAACAAAAAAAGCACATTTTTAACCACGCCTGTTAACACGGACAGTCCTAAGCCTGTAAAAGTGGGAAGGAAAATGTAATTATAATCAGGGACTCAGTTTACCTTATAACTTTTCAAATCCGGGACTTATATCCTTTTCAGACCAGAGACTCAGTTTACCACAAAACAGGTATTTCGGACTCAATTTACCTAGCCCCGACGCTAACACGGTAGAGTCATTAAAACCGTACTACCTGCATAGAAACGAGTTAACCACGGAACAAGATTGCCTAATGTGGGGTTATAGAGTAATTATCCCCGATAAGTACAGAACATCACTATTAAAAGAATTACATTCCACACACTCAGGCATAAGTCATATGAAAGCATTAGCGTGTTCTTATTTTTGGTGGCCCATGCTCGATTCAGACATCGAAAACATTGTGCGTAACTGTCAAAACTGCTTACAAGTTAGGTCTTCGCCTCCGAAAGCCCTGCTTACGCCCTGGAAGTGGCCAGAACAGCCTTGGACTAGGTTACACATAGATTTTTTGGGCCCATTCAAAAATAAGGTTTTTTTGATAGTAGTAGACGCAACCTCAAAGTGGTTGGAGGTTTTTGAGGTTAACGGCACTACCGCAAGTATAGTAATTTCAAAACTTCAAGAACTAATATCGAGGTTTGGAATCCCAAAGTCCATAACCTCGGACGGAACTAAATGTTTCACGGGAAGGGAATTTGAAACGTTCTGTAAAAACGGGGGAATCCAACACCTGGTAGGTGCACCGTTCCACCCAGAAACTAATGGGGCCGCGGAGTCAGGAGTCAAGACCATAAAACATTTTTTTTTTTTAAATAACACCACCAAAATGACTCAAATACAAAAATTTCTGATGATGTACCGCAACACTCCACACTCGACAACACTACAGGCCCCGGCAAAATTGCTGTTAGGACGGAATATCAGAACACAATTCGACGCACTGACTATTGAATTTCCAGTAAAAACCACAGACGTTCCGAAATTTGTTAAAAGAACAAAAGATATTTCTATTAATATTTATTGTTTAAATAAAAATGTAATTGTACCTTTAGAAATAACTAAAATCGGAAAAAGTAATCATATAGATTTATTATATTTAACAGTGGATGATAAGGATACTGATGATGATGATAATAATATGAATAAAGGACATTATTGTTGGATTAAAGATTTATGGAAACTAGTAGGAAGTCAAGTTACAAAAGATGGTCATAAAAGATTTTTGTGTAAAATGTGTTTAAATAGTTTTGATACAGAAAATAAGTTAAATGATCATAAACATTATTGTACTAATAATAAAGCTGCTAAATTAGTTCTACCAGAACCCTAAAATAAAACTTTAGAATTTGAAAATTATAATCATTCCTTAAGAGTCCCTTTTGTGATTTATACTGAAAATTGTATAATTCTCTCACTGATAAAAATATAACTAAAGAGGAATATGAAAACTCACAAAAAATTTGGAAAGTTTTTAATATAAAAAATATGCGTGAATTCACTACCTAGTTTATATAATAAGATCGAATTATCAACAGATATAATAGAAAATTTTAGAGACATTTCTTTAAAAAAATATAAATTAGATCCTATGTGGTATTACACAACATGGGATAGTATGTTAAGAATGACAAAAGTAAAATTATATTTATTAACAGATAAAGATCAAATATTGATGTTTGAATCTGGAATCAGAGGTGGCTTATCTCAATGTAGTCAAAGATATTCAAAAGCAAATAATACATATATGGGAGATAAATTTAAAAAAAAGGATGAATCAATATTTTTACAATACTTGGATGCAAATATTCTTTATGGTTGGGCAATGAGTAAATATTTACCTACTGGAGATTTCAAATGGGTTGATAATCTGAATGATTTTGATGTAATGAATATTTCTGATAAATCACGTAAAGGTTATATTTTAGAAGTCGATTTATCTTATCCTAAAAAACTTCATGATCTACATTCAGATTTCCCTTTAGCATCAGAAAGATATTTTCATAACAAACAACTCCCAAAATTATTAACAACTTTGTATGATAAGAAAAAATATATAATACATTATGGAACACTAAAATTATATATTAATTTAGGTTTAAAGATAGAGAAAATTCATAGAGTGTTAGAATTTAGTCAATCTCCTTGGTTAAAAGTGTATATTGATTTTAATACTAATCTTAGATCAGAAGCTAAGAACGAGTTTGAAAAAGAATTTTTCAAATTAATGAAGAATAGTGTTTATGGACGTACTATGATGAATGTTAGAAATCATGTTGATATAAGATTATGTTCTAATGCAGTCCAACTAGAAAAATTAATTTCAAAACCAAATTTTGATCGAAGGACAATTTTTACAGAAAATTTAGCTGCATTACATATGAAAAGAACACAAATCACTTTCAAACAACCTATATATATAGGAATGTGTATTTTAGATTTATCTAAAATGTTAATGTATGATTTTTATTATAATATTATGAAGAAAAAATATGGATGTAGAGTTAGATTGTTATATACAGATACAAATTCACTAATATTAGAAATAAAAACTAATGATTTTTATCAAGATATGAAAATTATGTTAGATCATTTTGACACTTCAGATTATCCAAAAGATAATATTTATGGTTTACCTTTAGTTAAGAAAAAAGTTTTAGGCAAGTTTAAAGATGAGTTAAATGGAAAAATAATGACTGAATTTATAGGTTTAAGATCTAAATTATATTCACATCGAGTCTTAGATACTGAAAAAGAAATTAAAAAAGCTAAAGGTGTTAAAAAAAAATGTTGTAGAAAATAAAATATGTTTTAATGATTTTGAAAATTGTTTACTAACAAAAAAATCAAAATATGTTAAACAAAATTTATTTAGAACTAAGAAATATGATATTTTTACTGTAGAACAAAACATAAACTGATAGCAGTCGTCCGTTGCACACGCACATTGCGTACGCTCCGCTCCCATGCGTTTAGTTATAGCTACCTTAAACTTCATGTTATTTGGTAAATGGTGCGCAATATTAAATTATACGACTGTTTTCACTTATATATTATTATCCTTTAAGTTTCGTCGCTCAAATCAAAAATTATATTCATATTCAACAACCGGCTTGTGCGTTATACTTTCGCATACGTCGTTGCTTGTCGTAGGTCGCCTCGGCGACCTTGATATTATTATTATTACACAACACTCACCGTCGCGCTATCGCTGCCTTCCTGGTTGGGCTCTGTTATCTTATCTTATCGAATAACCGTCAGCATAGTTATTTACTATACCTATTAAAATGGTTAATCGCAATAATCCTAATAAAAATAACAAAACCGATGCTATCAATAAAAATTCGGTCAGCCCGATTATACTCAATAAAATCACAAAAAACTCCCCTCCAAGTGATGAATGGACTATACAGAGTGGAAAGAAAAACAAAAGGAATCTTTCTGACTCCTCTAACCCTACCTCACATCAAGCATCGGGTAATAAAGTACATAAAAAATTATTTTCGTCTTCAAACCGATTCGAAGTTCTTTCCCAAGCATCAAACCTAGACAATAACCCTAAGGTTGGTCCCGACGCCAATCTGGACACTAACACTAATCGCGAAGTTGACCCAATGGATTCTCATACAATCAAACTTCCTCCCCCAGTTTTTGTGCGTGGAGTTGACGACTTTCCTGAAGTATGCTAATGCCTAGTTGAACATATCGGCGTCGATAATTTTGTCTGCAAGTCTTTCACTGACCGTTTAAAAATCCAAACCAGCACTCCTGAAGCCTACAGATCACTAATCCACTTTCTGAAAGAGAAGAACGCAGAATATCATACCTATCAGTTACAAGAAGACAAGCCAATTCGTGTGGTTATTCGGAATCTACATCCAATAACTCCAACTAGTCTCTTAAAATCTGAGCTAGAATTCCTTCATTTTGAAGTAAGATCTGTGACCAATGTTCTTCACAAAACAGAAAAATACCCTCTCCCGCTCTTTTTCATTGATCTGGAACCTGTCCCCTATTCAAACGACATATTCAAGCTGTCGTCTCTGTTACATACTAAAATTAAAGTAGAGGATCCTTATAAGACGAAAACAATAAGTCAATGTGTGAATTGTCAGGAATATGGTCACACAAGATCGTACTGTGGCTATCCGTCACGTTGCGTTCGTTGCGGCGCTTTTCATCCCTCCTCTGACTGTCCAAATCCACCTGGTAGTCCGCCGAAGTGCGCGCTCTGCCAAGGCACTCATCCGGCCAGCTACAGGGGCTGTTCAGTGTACAAGGACCTTCAAAGTCGAAAAAAACCCACAAGTAACTTTCAATTTAATAATGTTAGAGATAAGTCACGCGTTGTTCAAGATAGCCACCCGACAAATCGTACACATACCCATGAAACCACTTATGCGCAGGCTACATCAGGTCAAAATAACTACCACCCCTCCCCCTCTGCAGCTCCTGACACTAACAACTTAATGTCCAGCTTCCTGCAAGAATTCAAAGCTTTAATTAACCCTTTAATAGCTCTTCTTACCAAAGTAATATCCTGTCTTCTCGATAAAAAAAAATGACTAACAACACTTTCACAAATCAATCCCTCACAATACTTCTTTTTAACGCTAATGGTATAAAAAATCATGTAAATGAGCTAAAATTCGTGCTTCACATTAAACGTATTGACATTGCGCTCATTACGGAAACACATTTTACACAACATTCTTATATCTACATTCCTGGTTATAAGCTAATGAGGGCTGATCATCCTGACAACACTGCTCACGGTGGTGTCGCCATTCTCATCAAATCTACTATAATATTTCAAACTCTTCCAAATTACTGTTACGACTACTTACAATCGTGCGCTGTACTAATATACTTAAACAGTATTCCTGTGACAATAGCAGCCTTATACTCCCCCCCAAAACACAAGGTTTTAAATGTAGACTTCCATAATTACTTTAGTTCCTTTGGCAATAATTTCATTGTGGGCGGCGACTATAATGCCAAGCATCAAAGTTGGGGTTGTCGCTCAAATAATCCACGTAGCTGCGTTCTTCAATCTTACGCATGTGCAAAAAACCTTAATGTACTTGCCCCTCCGGACCCTACATATTGGCTATCTTCTCCACGGAAAAATCCTGACATACTCGATATTTTTGTCACAAAAATTCCCTCTTCTCTACACTCTTCTGCTGTTAACCTCCTGGATCTTAACTCTGACCACTCATCAGTCCTATTCACACTCAATACCATCCCGCTAACTCGCTCTGAGCCACCTAAGCTATTTAACGCCTCCACCGACCATTTAAAATTGCATAACCTTGTTAATCAGGGCATTAAACTAAATGTTAAACTAAAATCTACCAACGACATTGACTTAGCTATAAATAATTTTAGAAATTTGATCCAGTCAGCGGCCTGGTCATCAAACGCTCACACGCATCATCCTCTAAATCAGACTTCAGTCCCATCTGATATTCGTATACTAATTGCAGATAAGAGGAGGGCTAGAGCCCTGTTTCAACGTGTAAGGTAACAGAATTTTGACCCTCTTATAATATTGTCCCCATGTCATTTAATATAATTTTATTCTTTTTTTTTTTGATATCAATCCACCCGCGCGCAGCTGATACAGTGAATCGACCGATAAACCCATGGTATCTTTTTAGTCGTTCCCTTGCTCTCTACCCCTCTCATTCTTAGGACAGACTGGCTGTTGGAAAATGAGGTGACCATAGACTATAAGCAAAAAATAATTTCCCTCTCTACTACTAATGATGAAATACCTTTTATACTAATTGCGGACCACGACCCCAGTAGCCTTGTAAACTCATTCAATAGTCTAAATTTAAATGATCACCACCTTAATATGTATGAACCTCTTTCCAGTTTAAAACAGCCCCCTCTCCCGTTTGAAAATGAAAAAAATATTGCCCTTAATGATATCCCACTTAATGAATCTCAACGAAATTTAATGTTTTCCCTTCTTCAACAAAATCAACAAATTTTTCAAGATAAACCTGGCCTTCACAAATTTTTCTCTTATAAATTCAACATTAGACCACATGAACCTTACAAAATTAGACCATACCCTGTCCCCTTCTCCCGTCGTCCCGCGGTAGAAAGGGAGATCAACAAGATGCTTCAATGGGGGGTTATTGAGAGATCAGTCTCTGCCTATAGTAACCCACTAGTAACAGTTGCTAAAGCCGACGGCTCTATTCGCTTGTGCTTAGACGCCCGAAAGTTAAACACTATTATCTTACCCACACGAGACGCTTCCCCACCCATCGATGAAATTCTTGCAAAATTTAATAACAAATCTTTTTTCTCCTTCCTCGATTTTTCTTCAGGATATTGGCAAATTCCCCTTGATCTTTCTGTTCGGCAATACACTAGTTTCCTTTATGATGGGCGTTCAAAATATTCGTTCATATTCAATTTTGTGTTGTACCTTTTGGTCTCAATATATCAAATGCTGCTTTTGGTAAAGGGCTTGAGGCCGCTCTAAATAATTATTCTACACCTTGTCCCCACCCCAACGACATACACACGTATGTGGACGACATTTTAATTTCCTCCTCTTCCTTTGAAGATCACATTGAAACCTTAGAGTGGATTTTCCATAAAGTAGCACAGGCAGGCTTAACTCTCAAATTTAATAAGTGTTATTTTAACAAACAACAACTCAAATTTTTAGGACATTTCATCTCTTCTCACGGTACGGTTATGGACCCCGACAAAATTAAAGCATTACAAAATTTCCCCGAGCCCCGCAACAAAAAAGACCTTCAGTCTTTTTTCGGTTTCTGTAATTTCTATCGCAAATTCTCCCAAAACCATTCTTCCCTCTTACACCCTCTCTCTCATTTAATTCAAAAGGACACACCCTGGACTTTCACTGAAAAGAACAAAATAGATTTCCAAAAAATTAAAACCGCTTTCGCTACACAGATCTCCCTTACCCATCCTAACTTTAATGAACCATTCTGTATCCAAACTGACGCCTCGTACATAGGTCTTGGTGCAGAACTTTTCCAGATCGGCCCTCATGGTCAACGTAATACCCTCTCATTCGCAAGCCGGTCACTACTTAATGCCGAACGCAACTATACTGTCACCGAATTGGAGCTATTAGGAATATTATTTGCCTGTCAGAAATTCAAAATTTTTTTTTTTTTCTCTCTTCTGGTTATAAACCCAACTTTATTCGTAATTAAATTAGTGTTCATTATTATAAGCTCTGTCCCTGTTTAAATTTATTATTCTCTTTTTTATGTCTATGGTCATCTTAAAATTCAGTACCCTATTTTCTACAACAAGTGGTTCTCAGTTCTGACTTTGGGTAACAACTTCAACAACTTGTTGGGGGGTTATGTAAGGTAACAGAATTTTGACCCTCTTATAATATTGTCCCCATGTCATTTAATATAATTTTATTCTTTTTTTTTTTATATCAATCCACCCGCGCGCAGCTGATACAGTGAATCGACCGATATTATATAACCACCTGTCCCCCGATCCCCACCATCAGCAGTGTCCCGTCGTTGACGTTCGTCGCTGGCTGTCGGTCGCCGCCGCTGGGCGCGTCCTTCGTGTCCATCGGTGTGCGTCGGCAGAGCAGTCTGTACTGAAATTCCCTCAAATTATTGTAAATTCCCCTCAACAACCCACACTGCTCTACCCCACCTCACATCGTTTTCAACAACGACGACCGTTGCGGCCCATGGCCCGCTGCTATGAACCAACACCAAACTTCTTCTTTTACTGACCTCTGAATAAGCAAGACGTTTTGCCCTTAATTCACGTCCGCAACACAATTGTCCTGCGCTCCGGCATCAACCACGTGCGTTCAACAGTTTTTTTGGTTTCTACAATATTTCCATCGACGTCCAATCAACATGATGGGCTAACCGATACCCGTCGGGCTGTAGTGGCCATACCAACCATGCTGCGGAATACATTTTTTTTCTTTCGTTCATCATGTGAGAGGCTGTCTTCGACGACCAGGTGGGCCATGCTGGCCGCGTGTGTGCCGGTGGCGTTCGCCAGCCCACCCCTCATCATCGAAGACCAACACTTCATCTCAACATCAACACTGCCGCTACTACTGTGTCGTAACTATGATATATTTCCCCACATCATCCCCCGTTAGTTTTCCTCCGGATTATAATTTTTATTGTTAGTATGACACCACTAAAATAACGTGCTTAGACGGCACAGGCCGGCCGCAGACCGCCTTGCTCTGGCGTTGACCGTGCCCGGTGATTTTATTAAAATGTAAAAGCGTCTATATGACGTTATTAACGTATCTCCACCTATTTCCCTCTTTAATTTGTATTTGCCCTGTGCCACCATATACCTCGTGTATGTGATGTGCGCCACCTTATTATATCTTTATTTTTTTTGTATTTGCCATGTGCCATGTTATACTTTTATTAACTTATATCTACCTTTGTGTACAATACACTCGTGTAATTACCCTGAAAATCTCAGTTATTATTTATTTATTAATTCAACTTATTTCCCCCCATAAATCTTGGGCTTTCATTAGCCCATGCGTGTATAAAACCTGTGAGTTCCACCGACTTGACCCTCGGGTCTCACGCGGTGCGGCTCACAGGTCACGATCGGAGTGTTCCCCTTCGGTCGTGGGTAGTTTTTGTGTCGTCAAAAAACACAAATCCTTACAAACGTAATCGCCTTCCCTCTCTTAAACATAACTATAATAAACTTTCTAATCTCCTTAAAAAAATGTTGGCCAAACACAAAGCCTCATTGCTTGAAAAGTTCTTGACAAATCTGTCTCCACACGACGGCAGTCTTTGGAAAGCCACCAAAAGAACATGTAAACTCAATTCTCCAAACATACCAATTAAAAAATCAGATGGATCCTTCGTCTGCAACGACCTAGACAAAGCCGAATTGTTTAAAGAATATCTTTATGAGACATTCCAACCCCATCCTGATATCTTCTCTCTTGAAAATAATATTGCTGTTACTGAGTCTCTAAACTCTCCTCTTCCTGTATCTCGTCCTGTAAAACATTTTTCTCCAAGTGAAGTCAAATTCGTTATTGATAAGTACCCTCATAAAAAATCTCCAGGTTTTGATCTCATCACAGGCGAAGTTGCCAGATGTTTACCTAAAAAAGCTATCATACACCTTACTCATATTTTTAATTGCATCTTAAGACTTTCGTACTTTCCAATACTATGGAAATTTTCAACCATTATTATGTTTCCCAAGCCTAAGAAACCTCCAGATTCCGTCTCTTCCTTCCGCCCCATTAGTCTCCTCCCTTTTTTCGCAAAAATCCTGGAAAAATTGATCCTTAAGCGCATCTTGCCAAGCATCTCAAACTCGGTCCTACCCGATGCCCAATTTGGCTTCCACTCTGCCCACTCTACTATTCATCAGGTGCATAGAACTGTCGACGCCACCTCCTTCTCACTCGAAAAAAAACAGTATTGTACCTGCGCCTTTTTGGACATTTCACAAGCGTTCGACAGAGTATGGCATGATGGTCTTCTTGTTAAATTAAAAAAATCTTGCACCCTGTTTTCTACCTTATCATAAAATCATACCTATCCGACCGTCATTTTCAAATCAGATTCGGTAATGCTCACTCAACTATATCCAATATTTCAGCCTGTGTTCCACAAGGGGGCATACACTCCCTTGTTCTTTATAATATTTATGCTGCTGATCAGCCTACTACACTAAACACTCTTGTTGCTGATTATGCAGACGATAAGGCAATAATATCTGTAAATTCTAATCCGGAAATAGCCTCACTCAATCTTCAGAATCACCTAACCCTTATGGAAGACTGATATATCAAGTGGGGGTTCAAAATTAACCAGTCTAAGTCTATCCATACAACTTTCACACTTCGTCTTTCTCCTTGCCCAGAGGTATCTATTTATGGCACTCAAATTCCTACTTCTTCCACAGTCAAATATCTAGGTCTTACACTTGATCGTAGACTTACCTGGGCTCCCCACCTAAAATCCAAAAGAAAAAATTTAAACCTACGGCTGCGCCTGTTAAAAACTTTTTGCAATAACAACAAATACACACACATTAAAACTAAACTCCTAATTTATAAATCTCTAATTAAGCCCATCTGGACATATGGCATACAACTCTGGGGTAATGCAAAACTTTCAAACATCAACAAAATACAAACCTTCCAAAACATAGCGCTAAGGAAACTATTTATTGCTCCACCTTCTGTCTCCAACCTCTCCATTCAACAAGATCTCAGGATGAACTCCGTCAAAGATGAAGCAAAACTCTACTATAAGCGGTTTCACAGTAGGTTACTTAATCATCCTAACCCTCTCATAAAAAATCTAGCAGTCCCTTCGATTCCGGGTAACCCTGTCAGACGTCTCAAATGTAATTGGTGTCGTGACCTGCTAGACGCTTGAATCCTAGTTAAAATCCTCCTAAACTCTAAACAAAATAGGTAGTGTCATCATTCTTCCGTCATATTACTCATGTTTTTAATACTCTTATCTAATTTGCTTATTATTCTATGTATGAATAGATTGTAAATATCTTTTAAAAATAAAAAAAAAAATTATTATTGCATTTCGATTTTTATTTTTAATAGAACAATTCTATTAAAAAATATTTTGATTATTATTGCATTTCGATTTTAATTACTAATAATTAAGTTTTGTTTAAAATATTTTTATTATTTTTGCATTTAATAAATTTTGCGAAAAATATTTTAATTATTATTGCATTTCATAAGTTTTACGAAAAATATTTTAATTATTATTGCATTTCAATTTTCTGATCTTTCTGCACATCATTTTCTTTGTGATCTTTTATTGATATAAAATAAGTTGCGCTAGGAGTGGTATAGTTATACTACTTGTATGTATGATTATCTGCTGTTTTTAGTTTCTTATATATTTCACACTGTTTGTTTACTAATTCCTCATATAATTTACTCCTTTCAGTGGATGTGTTTCCTATTCCTTGTACTACCGATTTGACTACAGTAGTTTGACTCTTGAAGATATGTAACATATTTTCATTTCTGGTTTCAATTTTTTCAATATTATTATTAGTTTCTTTGGTGCAATCATCGTCACATACTCCAAATAACGTTTTCATAGCACTACCTATAATGTTTATGAGCCCTCGTCTATTCCTATCAACCGTGGACATTTTATTATCAGTGCCTACGTATCTACCAATAGATTCATACATTTGTTCTCGTTGCGTCGCTATTTCTTTAAACGTGGTTTTTACTACATGTGCGAATCTTGTGCACACTTCATATTCAGATATTGTATCCCTACAGTTATGAGACATATTACTAATTTCATTTAATAACTGATCATACCGTTTGTCATAATTAGTTAAAGGTACATAAGTTAAAAGTTCCCAGTGTGCTCCTACAATCCTTAACTCGCCCTGATTTTCGAAAAATATAGCTGTCTCATTCTTAAATTTTTCATTCAAGTACGGAAGTTGCCCTTGAATGGTAGAAATGCATAACAACCTACATAAGAAATAATTAAAATTCATCATAACAATTTATTGTTATGGTTTCCTATAATTATATTAACTGTTTGTTACCTTCCGTTTTCATGTCATCTGGTTACAGTTTTACTAAAGGTCATGTAACCATGTTCATGTCAACTTCTATGTGTTTAAAACAATAACAGTAATTTATAATATCTATAGCTAATATATGTATAATTATATTCCCCAATAATTGTATAATTTACTTAACTCAATATTTCTATCTTAATTAACTACTTGTACATATGGTGAGTACAATCTTAACTACTCTTATTATTAATTCTAGATCTATGCTTATGTGTCCTCATGTTAATTACGATAATTGTCCAGTACAGTATCCATTTCTGCGTCACATAGTTACAGTTTACTAAAGGTCGTGTAACCATGTTTCACATTAACCTCAAGCACTGGAGACCTTGGGATATTTTATTTATAACCGTGTTTCTGCGATGTCTATATCATCATAAGATTTATAAGAAGTAGGATTTATTGTATTTAAATAATTAAATCTATTTCTTTCTACCAATTTATAATAACGTGCTATATAAATTGCTGATATAATCATGACCAATATTACTATCCCCATTATAATACTTAATATATATATATATTCTTTAGATTCTGTTACATCCCTTAGATTATCAATTTCGGGGATTTCTTCAACAATTGTGGTGTTTACGTGCGATTCATTGACAGCGGTGACAACATTGGATTGGGTGGTTGTTGTACTCAATTGCCTTATGATACCTTCTTCATTTTGTATCTGAGTGGCTGAAGTAGACGTAGTGATAATTGAATCTGATTTTAATTGTTCTGGAGAGTTTGTTACTGTATGTTCAGTGTTGTTTAACTGGGTGGTTGTTTCTAAATTGTCGGTTAATGATCGTTTCCTGGTTTCCTTTTCTAGAGTTTCCATATTGATTGAATGGTTGTTGATTTGATAATTTTGATTAGTAGTGGGTTCTATAAGGAACTGTTTAATTATTATTCTTTCCCCGTTCAACCCGAATTGCATTATGGATGTTTCTTCGCCTTCTTCTCCTCCTTTTCCCAATAATTGAATTGAACATTGTTTGCCTACGTATATTGACAGATACGTTCCATCTTATTGATCTAGCTTTTCATTGTCAATTGTTCCCTTGCAATTTATATGAATGGAGTGTAAATTACCGATTTGTTTATAATATTACCCGGTATCTTTATAATGCTTTCCTGAATATTCGTTATACCTTGTACTACAAGTTCTCCTAGTGGTGTCTTTTCATTAAATATTATCTTATTCTCCCTTGTTGTATCATATGCAACCCCTGCTTGTCCAAGAAGTAGATAAGAGTAGGTCTTCTGGTTCGGGTATATACTCCATGTACCCTAGCAATGTTCTACAAACTTTCGTTACGTTCCCTAATTTCGTCATAGCATATAAATCATATAATACTCCTAGTGTATTCCTTAATGTGAATATTTGATTTAATGGTTTACGAAATTAGTTAGGGTTACCAATAAATAAAAAATCGAGATGTGTCCAATTTAAGTAAAATACGAATTTTAATTTGATATTCAAATAAAAACAGTTTAATTCAATCAGCGCCTGTCCTCGGCTTCTTGCCTGCACATTCCCTTTCCTCGTGCCATACACCTCATGCCATAGTGGTTCCATGCCCCGCGATTTATTCCTGGGTTGGCCTCGCAGAACTCTCTTGTTACTCGAAATACTAATTTTAACCCGGCATGAAGCTCTTCTCTACTTTCTTCCCCTGTCAATGGAGGTGGCCTGAGTTCAAGGTATATAATGGTCGCCGTGCCTACAGGTGGTCTGTTGACGTGAATAACCGGTCTTATTGTACATATATAACAAGATAACGACTACAATATCACTATATAAATTACTAACCTTTATAGTTTAGATTAAATTCTATTTTAAGTTAATAAAATTAAAACGTTAAAACGTTAGCTACCACTACATAATACATACTAATCATAATTTATAATAAAAACCTAATATAATTGGAATTGTCGTGATACTTTTTCAAGTCATTTTCGTGTTCGGTAACCTTTCTTCTTCCCCTATGGATGACAATATTTTCAGTATTTTCAACACTTCTAAAATTTCAAAAGGCCCCTTCCATAAAGGTGTAAATTTATTTATTTGGGTATTATCTCTTAACAATATAGAGTCTTTTACATGCAACTCCACACTATAAGCATTACTATCATAATTAGCTTTTGATTTGATTTTCTTTTTGATTAATCTTTCCCTAGCGATTTTATGAGATTCCTGCATTCTTTGTTTCAAATCATACAGGTAGTCATCGTAATTGTACCTAGGTTCGGGGTTACTTTTCAAATTTACTGGAATATTGGTAACCTTCTGTACTTAAATCCAGTGGCGCCGAGTTCATTAAAAAAAGGTGGTTCAACTCGTCCCAAAGACCAAACACACAAAACATAATATCACAAAACCGCTCGCTTCGCTCGCAAATCACAGAAACTTTCATTGTCAAACAACTGTATTTTTTAAATTCAATAAACCTTACTGTTTAGTATTTACTGCTGAATCTATTGTAATTAAGTATGTTTTAATTTTATAGTGGAATTTTGGATCAATAAATGTATGGTCTTTAGTTGTTTCACCAGACAATAACTTTTTCTTTCTATTACGCTGTATTGGTAATGAAGTAAATGTAAACTCCGATTTATTCATAAATGTTGTTGCTTCATTGCACAAGTCGTTAAATGCATCATCAGATCTCAAGCGTTTGATGCTGCTCGAGACGGCTTGAAGACTATTTACTGCACCTAGTAAATCAATATCTTGACTTTGAAACATTTTTGTTACTGGGTCTAAAATATTGAATAGATTTTTATAACAGATTGCTGTCAAAACAAATCTTTCTGACAAAAAGAAATCTATTAAGCCCGTAGCTTTAGATCTGGCTTTGAAGTCTGCATTTTCAGTTATTTTTATCTGTTCTAATGTATTAATGACTATGTCGTATGTTAATAATACTGTATTCAGTGCTGACGAGTATGACATCCAACGAGTGGTTTCTACTCTTTTAAGTCTATGCACTCTTGCTTTTGGATTTTTTTCTTTTTGCATATTTTCATATATCGCATTTTTACTTGTTGAAATCAGTGCATACAATTGCTCCAGATTCCCAAATGTATCAACTGCATTAGCTGAACAGCTTGACATTTGAACAATTGCCATTTATATGAATGAATTTATATAATTGGCCATTTATATGAAAAATTTATATAATGAATAAATGCCATTTATAAATCGCTGTTGGGTTTATTTCTCTGATTAAAGCTTGTAGTCCTTCATATTCACCCGGCATGTTGCTAGCTCCGTCATATGATTGACCAACAAGCAGCAATTTCCAATCCAAATCGTTCTCCATGCATATATCTTGGAACACGGAAAATAATTATCGACCGCTGGTAGTAGATGTTTCTTTAAGTCCTAATAAACGTTCTCGTAGAACCGGAGAACGTTCAATTATACAAACATAACGAATTATAAATGCCAGTTGTTCTCTTCTAGAGCTATCAAACGTGGTATCAATTGAAACACTAAAAAAATTGTTATGATATATCACTAACGTTAATTTATGTAATATCGTTAATGCTGTATGTAAAAAGCCGTTTGGCGTTTATACAAATAAATAAAATAAAATAAATAAATAAAACCCTTTTTTTTTATAGATATTTTTAAACATTTTGAAACAGAATTTATCAATTGATTCTGTCTCTACCATGAGATGAAGTTAATTTGATTTCTTCCATGTATTTGAAGACGGTCTATATAAAAAGCCAAGCTAGGAGAAAATTTACATAAAAGTTTTACCAAGTCTTTAAAATTGCCTATTATTTGCTCAGACCAGCCTTCTCGATGACCCCTAAATGGTAAAGAATGTTGTCCAAAAACAGTGTTACATCAATTAAAATATGAACTATTTCACGATTTTCTGCTACTTGATTTCTTTTACTTGCATAAATTTGTGGAAGAACAGCCATTGATGAACATTTCATTTTCACAAAAATTGAAGCATTGATATGAACTCTTATTTTTTCATGTACACTTATATTCGTAAGACGTTGCCAAGCATGAAATCTATCATAATTCCAAGATTTCTGAGCATTTTTCCCAAAGAACATGCAGTGTAAACAATAAAATCGTTTACTACTCAGAGAATAGCTCAACCAATCTCTCCAAAGACGACCAGCATTTGGCAAAGATTTATAATACTGCTTACTATTAAAACGATGTCTATGTTCCTGAAGAAAATTTCTACCAGGAAGTTCATGCTTCTCAGGCTTAAATGGTTTACGGAATAAAGACAGTTTTTCTTCAATTGACAAATTCTTTACCAAAGTAAATAACTTTGGATCAAAATAAAATATGTTTGGCCGTTCTGTAACAAGGTAATACATTAAAAAAATATATATTCAAAGTTGTTTTGTTACAATTAAAATAACATTAATATAAACATTTGTACCTACCAGTTTCATTTAAATAACTTGAGTTAGACATAATCTGTTCTACTGGCTCATCACAATGTACACTGGAACTTGGATCATCTGGGAGTACTATAATATATTTAAACAAAATAAACTTAATATAGTTACCTACACAGAACATAGACACATAGTTGCAACAAGGTACAAATGTATAATATATTTTATACATTGGGTCATTTGGTCGCCGTGAAATGAGCGCGCGTCATAAGAGCGAAGTCATTTGGTCGCGAGCAATTTAATCGCGTAAGCAAAAAGAGCGCATATTATAAGAGCGTAAAGTAAAAAAACCATAATTTTGAATTATTATAAAATCAACAAAAATTAGTGTAAATATATAATCACTGATCAGTAAAACAAAATTGATATAAAAAATACAATAAATTATGATACAATTCAGTCAAAAAACCATAGTCAAATATATAAAAATCACTGATCAATAAAATAAAATAAATATCAAAAATACAATAAATTATAACATAATCAATATTATCATATTATATTATTATAGTCATAATTATACTAAATTTGTAGCTGAAAATTTGCAGCGATGCCCCTTAAATATTCGTCAATAGGTTTAATTTCGAATTGCAATACCAAATTTTTAATCCGTAGAGCTGAATCTTTATATTTTCTTTTTTTAGGAAGTGAATATCCAGAAATTGCTTGTTCGACTTTAAATTGATTTAAATTGTCTTCTTTTTTTAATGCGCTAATAAATGTCCATATGGACGGGTGAACTGCATTCAACATAGAATTAAAACCGTTATGCCAACCTTCTATTGCATTGTTTGTGCGTGGAATGTCTTTTTGGATTAATTCATAACAATTCCAAATACTAATATCAAATAATGCAGGTCTTCTATGACCTCTTCTGTTCGGTCTACCAATGTACGTATCTTCAAAATAATCTAGGAGTTCAGTTAATGAGTTTTGATTTTTTTCGTAAAAATTTGTACTAATTAATGATTCAAAAGAATCAATAACTTTATTTTCTGGGACATAAGCTAAAGCCAATAATTTACGTAAACATAATGAAAATTCTGGATCTTCTGAGTATTTTTTTGAAAGTCCCAAACTTTGGATACGACGCCAAAAAGATTGACCCAAGTGAAAAAAACAACCCTTAACCTGTGTTTCAGGGTAAACATGTACTACAGCATTCATGGCGGCCTTTTCAAAATCTAACATGAAAAGTTTTGGATTCAGATTAGATTTAATCGAATTTAATGCTACAAACATTCGGCGATATGTATCTTCGGATTTATCGGGCAAAAGAACGTAAACTAATGGTATCATATTTTTATCTATAATGCTATGAATAGTGTAAAGTTGAGTAAATAATTTTGGAGTGCATGAAAATGTGCCATCGGCAAACCAATAATAACTATTCTGTAATAGTTCTAAATTTTTTAACGTTGAAAACAATAAAATTCGTTTATTATCAACATTCTCCAAAAAGCTATCGTATAATAAAAACGGTTCACCACTTAC